AAGAAAAGACAAGAGCAGAGAAAGCGGAGGCACTGGATCTGAAAAACACGATGAGCAACAGAATCTGATGCATATATTATGTTGACATGCTGCAATAAACAAACAAATATATTGCTTATATTTAAAGCACTGAAATAATTTGGACAGTTTGAGGATTGTGACTCACTGAACCTCAGTTAACTCAATGAAGTATTATAGTACTGTGTCTCTCAGTTAAATCAAATAAAATCGAATGGAAGGCTTCGCACAACATTGCAATAATTATTCCTAGGTATACTGGTTTGCAGTAGACATGCCACCACATGCATTGCCCATGCAGCTTGCGCCTGAATGCATGAACATTTGGAACTGCAGACGTTCTTCTAGGAAATGTTGGTTCGAGGTTTTCATTCGAGGAACACATGCATATATATATATATATATATATATATATATATATATATATATATATATATATATATATATATATATATATATATAATATATATATATATATATATATATATATATGCAAATAAGATGATTTTTTTGTCATTTTAAGAATCATGGTTGTCATACATTTGTTATAGGTTACTTCTCCATTTAATGACATGACACTGGAAATTTTGTTTAGTTGTCATCTTATTTGTTTATATTTTTAAAACACATTTTATCTTCAAACATGAAGATATAATCAAAGGATCAAAGTAGTTTACGATCAATAAAAAAACCTCCAAACTTATTATTGCAAAAGCTACGATCTTTGGGAATGTTGTGTTTTTCTACCATGACGAAGAGAATACGGACATCCTAATTAGTGAAATAATTTCTACATCTTACTAAGCTGCCACTAGACTTACAAACAATTCTAGTTCCTCTACCAGGGTGGAAGTCTGACTGCAGTGTGGTTTGCATGCTTCTCTATCAGCAAGATCACATAAACCTCTGGTTGAATTTCAAAACATCTGGTAGAGTAGAGTGTGGGAAAAAAATGCATTTTTGTGTAGATTCTCATCATATTTTCAGTGCTATGACATGACAGCCTGATACTCTCTTTCAGGATTTTCTTTCTTTTTCTGATAGGTTGTGCAGTCAAGTCAAAATGTATTTGTACAACACAGTTAAAACAGTCTCAGCTGACCAAAGTCCTTCACAACAAACATAACATCATAAGTAGATAAATGACTAAATAGAAAATAACATTACATTTATTCTTTGTCAAATTAAAATAAGAACTTCTATGAATAAATTAAATTTGAATTTTAGGTTCTAACAAGTCTTGGAAAACACGAGCAGCTTCAAAAAAATATCTTCAGTAACTTGGCATCTCACTGCAGCTGAAGATCTTTGCATAGAGGGAAGTTTTCTGAAGTGCCAGGCTAAAGCTAGCTCACTTCCTCTGTGTTAGATTTTCTTCTACATCACTTCCACCAGAATGTCTGAAGGACTGATGAGCCTGAGTGGGTCACGTCTAACTGACCGCACAGGAGCTGCAGCTCTTTCTACTACAGCTGAAGCAAACAATGATGTACTATCAGCTAAACCCTCTTAATAAAGTGACACCTGTTAACAACTTAATATTTCACATCGGCTGGAAGCGTAACTACTGTGGCAGCAACACGTCTTTTGAGCCAAAATAATGTGGCATTAAAATCCCAATTTAAAAGAATTTTCTTCTGTTTTTCTTTTCTTGTTTTGTCTCCATATGCTGCGTGCAGACCAACCGCGTTTCAAAATGCATCCAACACCTCTGCTGTGATGTGTTTGTGTACTTTGGTTTTGAGCATCAAAATTGCTCAAGACGTGCGCTAAGAGGAGCGTCTTGGCTTTTTTCCCCCTCTCCTGATGTCTTTGTACAATGGTTGATTAAATATTGAGAGAGTGTCTCGGCTGTATTTGCTGAAAGAAAGAGAATGTCGTCATCAGGCACCTCTGTGTTTGAATTCACCAGATAATTCAGAGTTGTTAAGCATTTGGTGAGTTTCATAATTTAGATGCGCATGTCGAACTCTCAAAACACTTCAAACACGCCGCACTAGATCTGCGAGACTTCTCACGTCCACACAGATGGTCCTGACGCTCAAACCACGTTTGGTCTGAACACAGCATTGCTCACAGTAGCTGTAGGTAATAAAAATCTTGCCATTGTGTCTCTGGCATCGCCTTAGTGAAGTTGGATGAACATTTGCAGTTATTTTTTATGTTGTTTTTTTTCTTCCTGCCTGCCTTAATGCCCCCGAAGGGTGACACACTGCATGCTTTGAAAATTTTATACCAATTGGCTTTACTGTGCAGTTTACTAAAATAAGTCTTTACGTTACTGGTGATTTGTAATGTTTTTTAATTTATTACAGCTAAAATTATCCAAATGATTATGTTGCTGACTGCTACTGGTTGACTCTGCTGCTCTTTTATAGTGAGCAGCAGAGTAGAGCATGAGAAAGGATTCAACAACTAGTTAGAACAGATTCCTTAGATTCAATGCCAAGTAAACTTTGGCATTGTGCTTGTCATGTAATGCCAAATCTTTGAGTTCAGTTCTAACTTCCTCTGTTATCACATAAATGTGTGCATATAGGCAAGGCCCTTAACCCCAGGCTGCCTATTGATCGTGTACTATTTGTGAGGGAATGTACCTCTATGGCAAAAGTAGTGGGTGTCATCAGAATTTCAATTCAGATTAATGCCACTTCCAAGACAAAAGAAATCCTCAAAAATCTGTAAGAATGTATTAATAAAAATGTATATATGTAGCTATGTTAGTTACCACTTTAAGCTATCAATTGATAGGTTGTTTCTCAGCCAATAAATGCTGTTTACCCAAAAACAGGATGCGTTCTCAGAATAAATCTCTAAATGGATGCCCACATGAACAGATTCCTTTCAAGGTTAGCACCATTTTGACTATTTTAGGATTCTTCACAGGACGTGACACCCACGGGTAATCTGCTCTTTAATTAGTCAACGGCCCACGTTACTGTGCTGGCAACTTGTAGCCTGTTGAATGAATCAAGAGAGAAATTGGTTTTGTTTTGTGGGAATAAAAATGTTTCAACTCACTTTATTTCAGCCACTTTAAACTGAATATGCGTTTATTCAAAGACGCTGGTACAACAGTAATTAGGCAACGTATGTAAACTGTATAAGTAACCAATTCTTAATGCCACAGCATTAAAAACAATAAGTGCAGTAATGGAGATGAAATATCCATGGCAACTAATGTAGATGTGTGGCAAAGTCTGTAGCAGCTTCAGATGCTCTGGTATATAAAAGAAAAGCATTACAAGGATTGTAAGTATGAAAACATTCTAGGTAAATAATTCCCTTTAGGCATGGAGTGTTACTTTTTTTATAATCATTTCCTCATGCAAATTATATCTATTTAAGAGTTTTTTCATACATTTCATTTTTAATGCATCAAAACTCAACTTATTTGGAAAACCTTTGACTGTATTCTACCTCTTGTTACTTAAAGTTTTACTTTCAACAAGTCAATGTTATTTTAAACTTGTAAAATAAGCTTGATTAAATCTGATCATTGTTTTCAATGAACCTTTGTTGCTTTTTATTCCTTATGTTGTTCATAAGCTAACAAGTACTAGGGGTACATTGATGCTTTTCAAAGAGTCCTTTCAAAAGCTGTTTTCAGACTGATGGAAAAAGCTTTTATGAATAAAAACAACCAGAAAACTGTTATATTTTACATATTTAAATGAAACAAGACTAAACCAAATTACTTTTATAGTCAGCAGGCACCAATCAGGCAAAATCTGATTTTGCCTGATTAAGTTGCTCTGACCCAACGTTGCATTTCAAGGGTGTGTGTAAAGTAACATGCTGACCCGAGAGAGAAAACTTTAAAGGATATTCTTCAGTTTTCTTCTACATATTTGTATGAGACTTACTCTTCTGCAAGAACTGTTCATATGTTCGTAACAAACCAAACCAGCCTGAACCTAAAAAGGGACTTGATTACATCATCTGCCTCTAACAGTGACAAAAATCAAGCGTATCAAAACCTAGTTCGATGCAGCAATATAAGTTGCGCAAAATTATTCTTAATCATTTTCTATTTGTAGGATATTAGTAAAACCCCATTTCCGGCGATTCCTCTGTTACATACACACTCTAAATAAGTAACGACTGCTTGTGGGAACAAGAAAAGAAAATTATTTTCTGAATGGTGTTCTTGTATTTTATCTGTCTCTACGTGAAAAAAATCAGAAGTGGGTCAGAGCTTCACAAAGACCAGAGATTAGAAATTAGCCACATAATTTAAATCTAACAAATAAAGTGCAAATTCAGAGTTGTGGATAGAAATAAGATTGAGAAAAAAAAGCCAACTGACAACCCATTTTTGTCAGTAGTACTTTCAGTAGTACTTTAGAGCTTGATAAAAGCTCTCACTGTTTGGGTCCTTGGACGCAAATTAAAAATAAATGAGGAGATTGTCGTCTAAAGCTTTTACACAGTAATGTATTTATGGAAAAAGCTGCAGTTCTCCTGTGTTGTCGTAACTCCATACGCTCATAGTAGGACACTGTGCCATGCCTCTATTGAGTGACGTTTCCAGTCTGAGAATTGTGGGTCACAAGCTTTGCTTCCTGTATATTAATAGGAAACAACTATTAATAGGAAGTTCAGCAAAAGTATCAACTCAAGGCTTTTACCGATATAGAAGCTTTGTTGTTTCAACAAATCACCATCAGTGCTGATTCTCCCTTTCTGGCCTTACTTGGACAGACGTGTGCAAGCAAGCACACATGCAGGAAACGAACACATGCACAAATATGCTGGCACATGTGCGTGCACACGCGCGCGCGCACACACACACAGTCGCATCATTAACACTGACAAAGGCAGGTCTGTTTGAAGTCCCAGTGGGCAGACACATTGTGGCCATCACCAAAGAGACACAGCACAACACATTCAGCATTGTCTCCAACACACTCTGCAGAATCAACAGACTGCACTTAGGGTTATAACACCAGAGAATACAAAGGGAGTCGGCTGCTTCTTACCTCTGAACTTCTTTGGAGGATTATTGAGGTCCCCGGCATCAGGCTGGACAACGCAGCGGTCATCCACCAAGCTATAAAAGTAAAACAAATAATACGGTGTAATACACAGCTGACCTCAAAAACGAGGATATCTGTGTTTTGGGGCTTTAGGAGATGCAAAGAGAGCTGTTGACCAAAATGAACAATTTTTATCTTATTTGGTCCATACCAATGATCCCAGTGAACAAAGTATATGCTAGTTTTACCAGGTGGCACCGACAACAACCCTGTTTAGGACAGATGCAGTTACTGTCTGAAGACTTAATGCTACCTCTAATTATTAATCAGAGAGATTTTAGTCAGGCAGAGGTATGAGAATGTATCTAAAACAATCTGTATTTTCCAAAAGCAGACAAAAGTCATGTCTTTGATTGATTCAGGCTGCAAGAAAGTGAGAGAGAGCATACATTTTAGCAAGTAAAAATAAAGCTGAGGAGGGCAAAATAGCTATTTTTTAAAAAATAATTTTCAGGTCATAATCTCTATCCACCATGAAACATGCTGTGTTTGGAAATGTAGAGAGTTTTGGAAATCTCTGCGATAAGGTTGAGAATACACAGGAACTGCTATGTTTGAAATGCTCTTTGTGTTAACTGAATAAATAGGTGATGAATACGCTAAAGAATAAAATAGGCAATTTGTTATAATTTTCGTTTTTGTTTTAGAACAATAGAAAACCACATTTTACAGCAACTGTTCACTCAAACAAGGTTGGACTGTCACTCATAATATAAATTCTTAATTTCTACACAGCAAGGAGAAACAAACCAAAACACATGGTGTTTTTAATTATAGATCTTAAGGAAAGACCCAAAATCAAAAACTTTAGAAAAGAGATCAGAATATCTGGCACAAAATTCTGACTGGTGCAACTCTTCCTGACATTTTTAGCTGCAGTGTGAGGATCGGCATGTGGCTGATCTGGAGGAATGGAAGGCTGCACAGGTGATCTTAGTGCTCACTTGCAGTCAACATTGATGGTCTCTGTGCTTACAGGAGGTTTTTGGACTGCTGCCCATGTTATTTTCACCAGAATTTTCTAAAATGGTTGCTGTTTACATTCCAAAATGCACAAATTCAATAAACACAGAGAAGAAACTGTCTGGTATCTTGAGTGGACAAAAAAACTAAACGTAATGGAATTACAATTTAGTGGTATTTGAGGACAGCGGTTATAAAAGATGTACCCTTTTTTACCCTGATAAAACCCTTTTGTGTGCTATGGTCCATCCTAGAAACAGTGTTTCAATCTCTAAACCAAAGTTTATTGGAACACCTTTCAAAACACCTTTGCAAATTTGTCTGAACAGCATGAAATTTATGTCATAGAAGTGCAGCAATTGTGTGATGAGTTCATGTCAATATGGAGAAAATTCTGGAACATTGTTGAATCTATGTTATCAAAAATTAAGGGATTTCTGGAGACCTACACTAGCGGTGTGTACATACTAAAGAGGATGGTGAGTGATGTTTACAATGACAATTTGAATTTGAGATTTTGTCCAGCTTCAAAACTGGTTAACAGAGAGCATCCAAACATCTGAAAGTCGAAGCCAGATTTAACTATACATACGTATACAGAGCATTTGCAGTCATATTAAATTTATTTATTGATTCGTCAGATTGAAAGTACCTTTTCACCATTTTTAAGCAGGTATAAAACCTACTTTTTAGTAAAGCTATATTTCTGTGTAATCTTTTGTTTTCACTGCTCTGATGTAACATTCTAATTTTAAATTTTGTGTTTTCTTAACAGTACGAGGAAAACATGTACTGCCTTTATTTCTATTAATGCCATTCATAGAAATACAGGCATTCAAACATCCGTCTCTGTGTAACTAATCTATAAAATGGGTTTTACTAAGTGGAAAAATTTCTGGAAATGAACTAACTCTCTACCTTTTATACCTGCCATTTGCAAATGCAATAACAGGCAGTTGCTGAGTTTAGTATCTGCTACATCTGACCATTTAAATCATGTATTTCTTTCCAATCTTTCCTTTCAAAAAACATACAAACCAGCAAGCAGACTTGAATGTTCTGTGACAGATTTATTTTTGGCCTATTACAACACAAGCTGGGACAGAGGCCAAATCCCACATCCCATTTAGTAGAATATGTACAACAGAAGGAAAAAAAAACTCCTCCTTAGTATTATGAAGGAAAAGGAACAAGCAGAAGAAGCCCGGATGTAAAGTGAGGACGATTTGCTGACACGTAAAACTTCACAATTCACCTCAGAGGTTTGTGGTTGGTAGCAGATTAGTATGACCTCTAAACATCTCAGACCTTTCCAGGTCAACATGAACATTTCTAACTTGTCTCACAGAACCCGGTCTGCAGTTTGATGCTGGACACATCTCAGAAGGAAACACTGTGCTATTAAGAGCTTTCTCTCCTCTCTGCATAACTTCTTCCTGGAGGGCAGATGACCTAGAGAATCCAGTGAAGTTGGATTTGTTTGTGGAGTGGGTGGCTTCTGGCCAAAGTTCTCATGACAGTTTTTGCAGAGAAGTGGGTTTTACTGCGTGAGAGTGTGTATAACTCTACGTGGGAAGTGCCTGCATGTAAGAATGGCCACGATGTCTTTATCATGACTCAGTCTTTGCAGAGGGTCGTTCCATTTTTCATGAGCTGGCAGAGGGGGTGTGGGTAGGACCAGGACTCTGAGCTGTTAGCCCTGATTCCATTACAAATGGTAGATACTTTTCAACTTCTGAGGATGAATTATATCCACTAGTGTATAGAGGATATTTTGAGTATATTTTATTTATTATATTTTCTGATCAGAAAATTTTGAAATCTTATTTATTAAATAGTTTGAGCAATACAATGAAATGCCAGGGAGACTGCTGGATCGACTAGAGTTTTGTCTGGTAGTGTTTTTCCTAAACACAAACCATCCTTCTGCCTCGACCTCAAACACAAACTTTATTATTTGGAAGCTTATTTAGACTACAGTACTTATTCTTGTCCCTGCACAACTAATTAAAAAAGTGCAACAAAACCTCTGGTGCAAAAGAACAGAGAAAAGAGTAAAAAGCAGACGATACACATTATAAATAATATGTGGCCAGTTAGAGAAAACATACCCCAGAGTACTGATGAAGCCATTGGTGGATCCCTCTGCATACAGGGAGCAAATATCCCCAATATGCAAAAAGCTGGACATCTTATCCGACATGATTGACACCAATTACAGAGCACCTAGAAAACATTGACAAGAAGATAAACAATGAAATTGAGAAAATAATTAATATGCTACTTTTTTATGTTTAGCTTTTACAAAGCTGGACAAACATCAGGCTCATCTACAGTGTTTTGTTAAAGTACTTACAACCCAGTCATATTTTCTCACATTAAAACCAAAAACTTCAAAGTTTTTAATGGGATTCTATGTGGTTCGCAAACCATAAAAACAAAGGGAACAAAGTTGCAAATAAAAATCTTAACTAACACGCCTGAATAAAACCACATGCTTGAAATTCACTTCAGAAGTCATCTCATCAACAGCAAAAAAACAGTTTGACATGCATTATTGTCGTTTTTAGTGTAGGTTGAATATATATTAATTTGACCTTCCAATTCACAATTATATACTATTTTGTGTTAGCCTACAAAATAAAATACATCTTCCAGTTTGTGGTTATAACACGCAGCACTCATAGCTTTTCCAGGAAGCTGACACAATCCTACCTGTCTGGTTGGCTGACTGGATTTGCATAGAACCGGCTGGAAATGAAAATGTTACAGTAGCCTGTTGCTTTGCGGTTTCAAGCGACTGCAGCCACCTACCAGGAAGGTTTCTGCACCTGCAGCAGGTCATCCCCACCGAGGCTCCCTGCAGGAAGCTTTAATTTCACCACGACAGAGACACTGAGCAGCGTTGGGAATAAAATTTCACCAAACAATTTACAGCGAACAATGGGGGCGGAACAGTCGCGCATCAGGCAGATGTGATTGTTTATCCAAGCACCAAAAACGAAAAACCGACTTTAAAACTTTTTACGATCGCTGCCTGTGACTCATAATGGTTTCTATTGTCAAAGCTGATCTTTGCGGATTACTTGTGAGCGTATAAAGCAATCTGCTTCCAGTTGTGAGTCTTAATAACCATGTAAGGAAGAAACAAATCTTTTTCTCCGCTGAGAGAGCGAGAGAAGGGGGAGCGGACCGGAGGGAGGAAGAGAGGATGGCAAAACTGTGAGAGTTGTGCGCTCAACTTTACCTCGGTCGTGCTGCACTCAGCTCAGACGATCAGCTTTCTCCGACCCAGAAGAGCCAGCATGACTGTGTCCGTCCTCCGCGCCGGACCAAGTGCTGAGATCCAGCCGTCAGCGGCTCCGATAATCCTGTTTCTGACAGCTTTCCGTGGCTGCGTTCGCTGAGGCAGCAGGCGCTGACTGAGCTGAGCTGCCTGGCTCGCTGCCACTTCGTTCTCTTCTTCTTCTTTTAGGCGCCTGCTGTGTTGATAGCTGGGAAATGTGGTTTCATTTTACCCCGTGGAAATCGGAGCCGCAGCAGCGTCAAAAAACACACACACACACAAATCAGTGTTTATGATTGAATTGAAGCATCTTAAATCAAACAGATAAGATTGGTGTATTGTTATTTTATTATAAGGCAAACAGTGTCTATTTGCCCTAAACTGTCTGTCTAAACAGGGGCGGTTGCAGAGTTTTTTATATGGGCTGTCAGATAGGGGATCCCTAATAACTGGGTGAAAAAGCAAAACAAATATCGAGAACAAAAATTAAGGACTTTTGTAAAGTCCTGTTTCATTGGTGGGACTATTAATAGGTATTTAAAAGTGGCACACCATAAAGAACAGAACAAATGTAGGACAAAAAAAGAAGCTTCAACTCCTTAAAACTTACAGGTCTTTGAGAAATGCATAGGTCATATTAGTGAAGGAAATGAATCAATATATTGCTTGTGTAAGAACTTTGACAGCCACCCCAAAGCAACTTAAAGAGTGAACTGGAAAAGTTCTTGAATATAATTGGTTCTGTAGCTGTGGATCCATAAGAAACCATCAGTACAGCCGCTAAAACTTTAAAATGTCCAATGTTTTCAGCTAATAAAACATTGAACATGTGGAGAGGAAAAGAATCAATGATTTTAAAAAAAAACTTTATTTAAACTACTACTGAAACGATTCAGTCACCAGCAGGAGCTTATATCATCGAGATCTGGCTTTTTTTTTTTGTCATGCATGCTAATGTGCATATTATCTAAAACATTTATAAAGCAATCTAAATATTTAATTAGCAAGCAAAATATTTATTCACCAACTTCAATATTTTGTTATTAGTTTGGTGTGCTAACCAACAAGCTACAATGTTAGCATGCTAGCTGTGCTTAGCAAACAAGCTAAATGTAGCACGTTAACATTTTGTTAGCAAGCCCGATACTTTTACCAAGCAAGCTAAATATTTTTGGTCCAAGACCATGCTTGGAAAACAATTATTTTGGAAAATAAATATTTACTTTGAAACTATATTTTTAGTTTTAAAATGAGAAAGATTTGATTTGGAGAGAAATATTTGCTTTGTACACTAGATAGCTTCCTTACTAAATGTTCATTTTTGCAAGCTACATTTAGTTTGTAAAGTTAATATTTATTTTGGAGTTACGGCATTTGTACCTGTATGAACAGCACGGTGAAAATAAGACTGAAAAATGAGCACTACTTTCTTTCCCTCTTATGATAGGCTAACAAATAAAAGTATAGCTGCTTATTTTGTGTAACTTTACAAACTGCTTCCTAGCAGTTTGTGTAACTTTACTGACCTTCTTAGCTCCCTTCACTAACATCTCCGGGGCCTTTTACAGTCATTTAGTCATTGAAAGTAACTTAAAAAAGCATCATCTAACCAGGTTTTGATCTAAAAGAGAAATACAGAAACCACCTTCAGTAAAGAGTTAAATTTTTCTTCCCGTCAGGTCAGCTGACTTCCCACGTGACTTTCCGGAAGTAAGAGTGTCAACATGAGCACATCCCGACTGGAGGGGACTTGCCAGAATGCTACGCTATTTTCTCTTGCTTTTAGTGGTGGTGCTCGTCAGTGTAGACTTTTGTCTTCAGAGTTCATGCGGAGGAGGAGGGCAAGAGGCCGAATCCACGGAGGGAGCAGCGGGCTGCGGCTGCGATAAGCTGAGGAGAACCGCCTCTGGTGCTGCGGACCCGAAGGAGGAGCGAGCGTGGAGCGAGCCTGCTGTGAAATACACAGCAGCTGCTAATGAGAAAATCTCTCAGGTTTGAAGGGTCGGCACGAAATTACCCGGTCAAATACATTGTGTCCGGATGGAGAGGGGAAATAACCTGGATTTGTATGCATGGATGAAAATCTGAAAAGTGCGCTCTGCAGTTGGATTCTGTTTTACAAAGATTAAATAAATGCCTCCAAAGATGCCTTATCAGTACATGGAGTTCACTTTGGTGTAATTCAGTCGAACTACAGCTTTGTTAGACAACGGCATAATACACAGCAGCAGTGATAAAGTTGTTGAGAAATGCAGTTTAGCAGTTTTGAAAGCTGAGACCACATTTGCTTTATTTGGTTAATATTCCAATGTGACTTTTATTGTTTCTCCATAATAAACTAGAAGCTCCAGCTTGTGGTGGACTATAAACTGGTAATAGTCACTTTTGAGGCAGTCAGCTCTTGAATGTTGCAGTTGAAACTGCTGCTTACCTCTGTTGTGTGTCTGTGTGTGTCATTTCTGATAAATGTCTGGTTTGGTTTTAGTGCAGCTGAAGTTTTTCCCTCTCCATTCAGATGGTGTTCATACCTGGAGGAGAGTTTCTCATGGGAACGGATGACCCAGGTATCCCCCAGGACGGCGAGGCGCCACAGAGGCCGGTGTACGTTGACTCGTTCTACATGGACGTACTGGAAGTAACCAACCAACAGTTCCAGAGCTTCATCAAAGCCACAGGTTATGTTACTGAGGTATCAAGTAATTCTGTTTTAAGATAGTTAAATGTAGTATTTTTTTAGACGCTTTTGTAATTCTGCAGTATTCTCTGGGTGTGAACTTGTTTTTCCTCCTGATTTTAGGCAGAGAAATTTGGAGACTCGTTTGTGTTTGAGGGAATCTTGAGTGAATCTGTTAAAAGCCAAATCGCACAAGCAGTGAGTATATACATGCGGATATGAGTAAGGTCACTTTATGTTTTTTATGTCGATGGAGACAACAAAAATTATTATTTATTCAGAACTGTTATTGTTGAAACACAACCAGCTGAGGAAGTTCACACACATTAAGGGTGTTGGATATATAGATATTATGATGCTCACAACTTCCTGACATGACTCCTTCCAGTTAATAATGAACACCCCCTTACAGATTTCTAATGCTTTTTGTTTTTTTGTCACATGTAAATGTTACAGATTATCACAAAGATCTTTGAAGAAAAACGATAAGATAGAAGTGACCCTAATTAGCATTATCTTCATTTAAAATAGCTTGTAATGAGTTTTTTTTTTTAGTGTGAAAGAGTTTTGGGCTCATCTTTGCTGAACTTTTTTTAAACGAGCCACACAGTCCGATTTAAGTCCAGGCTTTGACAAGCCAAAACTTTCATTTTCCATTTTGCTAGTGCTCTTTTATTGAAACAATTGATTTGGTTTTACTCCATGCATAAAAGAATGCACCCCTTCTACAAGTCTAACTCTGAACTCCTCATTCCCCTGAATATTTTCCAGGAGTCTTGGACAACATGTAGATATTTTTTGGTAAATGTGAGATGGGCCTTATGTTCAGCAGTAGTTCTGGGCATCAAACTTTTTCACAGATGCCATTTTATCTCAGTTTTTTTCTCACTTTTATATCATGAACCCTGAACTTAATCAGGACAGGTGAAGCCCACAATCTTCACCTGGCCTCCTGGGTGGGTCGTCAGTGCCGCCTTGGAGTTGTTTTGGTTCACCACCCCATCTTGGGAAGGTTTGTCACTGTTACATATTTTCTTAATTTGTGAATAATGGCTTTCACTGTGGTTCATTGGGGTCTCAAACCATTACAAATGGCTGTGTCATTTTTTCCCCAGACCAATAAATTTCTGGGAAAATTTTTTTCATTTGGGATCATTTAGTCTGCATCACGTTGTTGCAGCATCACCCCTTCAATTAATCCTGGGTTTGAAAAATAAAAAAGCAAGCTGGGGAAGAACTAGAATAAAATGCTTTAAAGACAAAAGCTAAATAAAATATCAAATCTACATTTGTTCTTTCATAAGGGCAATGTAAAAAGGTTGTATTAGAAACCAGAAACAGTTGCACCTTGAAGACAGTGAAAAACTAGAACCTCAGATAAATACCCTGTCTTTCAAACGTCTTTCATTGTTGTTTAGCTTTGTTCACAATATTCTAATTTTGGAAGGTGTTTTCCCGACTATAACTCATCCACCGTTCAATTTCCTGCTGCTCGATATTGAGGTAGTTTTTATGACTTTAAGTAGGCAGGAAGACAGACTACATGTTTCTGCTGTGAGAGAGAGTTCAGAAGGTTTACATGTTAGCTGTAGGAGGCTTGAGTCCGGCGGGGCTCTCAAAGACGAAAGCCAGACAGCTGCGAATTTACTGCTTCGTCTTGTGCAGGCTGACGATAATGGGGGCGCACCACTGCAGCAGCACTGGAAACCAGTAGAGATATTTTTATTCTGCAAAGAGAGTTCCTGACAAACTTTGACAGGAATTTATGAACAAAAAAAAGTTGAAGAGATAATGGATAAAAGAAGTTTAACCGGTTCCAACGATTATTATCTCTTTGCTACCAGGTGGCTGCTGCCCCCTGGTGGCTCCCAGTCAAAGGGGCCAACTGGAATCACCCTGAGGGCCAAGACTCCAACATCACAGACAGGTAACCAAAACATTACTACGTGGCTGGTAAAATCGGACTCTCAATCTGAAAACACATTATTTTAATGTTTTATTTAATGGAGCCTGAGTAACAATCAATGAAAATATACTTGGAAAACACACCTGTTTTCTCCAGACTGGATCATCCAGTTGTACACGTTTCTTGGGCTGACGCTGTCGCCTTTTGCACTTGGGCCAACAAGAGACTCCCTACTGAGGCTGAGTGGGAGTACGCCTGCAGGGGGGGCTTGCGAGACAGGTGGGACGTGAGTTATGACTGTACAGTAACACATGCATGTGTGTGCCTGAAGTTAACCTACTGGTGCACTTTATCTCCTCTCAGACTTTACCCATGGGGAATAAACTGAACCCAAAGGGACAACACTACGCCAACTTGTGGCAAGGGGATTTTCCCGTGCACAACTCTGGAGAGGACGGATACGTCAAAACATCTCCTGTAAGTGGGACAAGAGGTGAAGGGGGAAGTTTTGTAGTTGTGGGTGTGACAAAGAGCTCATATTTCAGACTAGCGAGGAGAAGACTC